TTAAATAATAATATTTTAAGAGATGTATAATTAATGTTTTAATTGAAGTGTAATTAAACTTATAATTAAAGTTTAATAGTAAGAAAAAGAAATTAAATATTATGAAAGAAAGATTAAGAAAGAATGTCATCTGTTTAGTTATCCTCTCTTTCATCTAGTGGAAATTGAACTAAAAAATTATACAACCATGCGCTATTTATACACTTTTAAAATTCATTAAAAAAATTTCAATTAAAAAATTTCTATTAAATTATTATAGTTTTAAAATTATAATAATAACTACTTATTAAAAGAGAGTAATTTATATTAGGAGACTTGAAGGTGCAAACAACAGCACAATTGAAGTATGTAACGGAAGAAGATCTGAACGCGATAGGGATGAGCAAACCGGAAATGCGCCGTCTAAAAAAATATTTCCAGAAGCATTTTCCTCAGAATTACCTTTCCAAATTTAAGAAGATGCTTCTACCGAAGCGCGAGGAACAGACTCCCGGTGCACTAAGTATGTTGCCGGAGGAAAGGCAGGACAGACCGTCGATACGCGTGCCCAATAAACACATGATCCCAGCCGATGCAATTATTGTGAACAAAGAGTTGGGAACAGGAGAATTCGGGGTCGTGCAGCAGGGCGTATGGACAAATGATGGAGAAAGGATACAGGTAGCAATCAAATGCCTATCCCGCGAAAGAATGCAGAATAATCCTATAGAATTTCTAAAGGAGGCCGCGATAATGCACGCGATCGATCACGAACACATCGTGCGGCTGTACGGCGTCGTTCTTGACACAAACTCGTTAATGCTTGTAACAGAATTGGCGCCATTACGCTCATTGCTGGAATGCCTCAAGGAACCCAGTTTGCGTGCGAGTTTCCCGGTTTTATCATTGTGTGATTTCGCCGTACAGATTGCTGACGGAATGCAATATTTGGAGGCGAAAAGACTGATACATCGTGATCTAGCTGCCAGAAACATCCTTGTGTTTTCTAAGAATAAAGTCAAAATATCGGATTTCGGGTTATCACGTGCACTAGGAGTTGGCAAGGATTATTACCAGACGAATTTTAATGTTAATTTGAAACTGCCCATTGCGTGGTGCGCACCTGAATGCATATCCTACCTGAAATTCACGTCGGCGAGTGACGTCTGGGCATATGGGGTGACTTTATGGGAAATTTTCAGTTATGGGTTTCAACCCTGGGCAGCATTGACCGGTCACCAAATTCTCGAAGCAATAGATGAACCTAATTTTCAGAGGCTTGAGCAACCTGAATGTTGTCCAAAGGATTACTTTTCTCTCATGCAGCAATGTTGGCAACATGAATCTCTGAAAAGACCCAAGTTTTCCGAATTGATCAATTTGTTGCCTGATCTAAAACCGGAACAAGTTCAAGCAGTTCAGGATAATACTGAACCGAATCAGCTTGCTTATAGACAAAGCGACATAATTACGGTCTTAGATAAAGGCAGTGGGAATAGCTTATGGAAAGGTGTTTTAAATAATGGCAAAACAGGATTCTTTAATCCGGCTCATACGATCGCGTATCTAGGTTCTAATTTGCCCAGCAATAAGCCCGGTGAATTTACGCGGGGAGATGGCAAAAATGTTTTCTCGTCACAGCGTAGAAAAATTCGTACGGACATGATATCTTCACCGCAGGGCGATCTCAAGCATACTGGTCATGTGGGTTTAGACGGAGCGTACTTCGGTGACATTAGCTTTCTCGGTGGAAAGTATCCGCACCTGCCTCGTCAAGTTGTGACACCATACAAACCGCAGGAGGATGCAACTGATAATTCTCAAAGTTTAAATCAGGATGCGAGAAGTATTGATGCGAATAGAGAATCAGCGAGAGATAGTAGAAGTATACAACAAGAAACTCAAAGCAAACATGGTACTAGTATTTTCTGTTATAATAAAGTTTTTACTTTATCAAATTATTTGTGTTTACATATGTACATTGCACATGTGCATTCGTGTAAATGCGTAAATTTATTTAATAAAGATACAATATTATTTATGATTATAATTTTATTAGATATAATTTAGTTACATATGTGAATTAGGAAATGAGTTTTACACATAAAACAAAGTATTAAATATTGATCATATTTAATTTTTGTAACCAATTTTGTGCTACTCTGAAAATATGACTATATTATCTTATATGTTTATATAGAGAGCTTATGGTCTGATGTGAATTCGGAAATATGTCAAGCGAATACAGAAAGTAATGCAAAGATGCAATCTATAACATCTAATATAGGCAGTAATACTGACGTTCTCGAAGCTGACCATGAATATCATGAAATTAGTGATGAAGAAAATCAAGAAAGTCCATTAAGATTTGATAAAACATTAAATTTTGACTTTGGTCCCAGTCTTTTGGCAGAAATGGATCAAATGTTCAGATCATTAGGTAAAAGAAATTGGAAGATAAATATTCCATATTATTTATATAAAATGTACAAATAATATTTCTGACATGTTATCATGTTTTTTCTATAGGTTCTTCTCCTCCTCCTCCGCCACCTGGCCTTCCTTTACCCACTGAACATGAATCAAGCAACGTGAGAAACGAATTGAGGGAAATTCAAGCAAAACAATGTAGCAAGAAGAAACAAGCCACCGTGAGTCCAATAAATGTACAGTAATCTTTTATTATTTTTGATTATGATATGACTTATTTAGTATATTTAACGTTATTATTCAACGTTATTTATTTTTTATTTATTATTTGCAATCTTTAGATATTACTTTTATTTATATTTATATAATATGTGTTATTAAGACAAAAGAAAATAAAGTCTGATGTAGAACTCTTATGTAGAATCAATAACTCAAGTTTAGTGCAGAACGATCAAGTTTCTATTGCACTATTTTTCTTGATCTGTATTTAATATAATAAACTTTTAAAATGTATTCGTGTTCGTGAGATAACATTAATATTTATATCTCTCTGTAGAGAGGGAATTGCGCAGAAATGTTGATCTACCGTTGATATGACGGAGAGAGTAAACATTTCTCTTGTATCTAGGTGAAACCTATCTCTGCTGCCGATCAGAAAACTCTCTACTCAGCCATTGCTATGGCACAGGAATTGACAGCACGTTCCATGACAGATCTTGAACATCCACCGGAGTCTCCTCGTACACCTGCCAGTCCTTCAAGACGCAGAAAATTCTCTTTTAAGTTGCCACATCAATACAGTCCCAAACCAGATAGACGACATTTTTCCGAAGAAGCTGCCAGTATACCTGACATACAGGTACATAAAACGGTTTTTGTTTTATCGCAGGAATATATGAAAAAGTTCACAGATCAAAAAACTACAACAAAGGAAGACATATTGAAGAAAGAGATTAATATTTTTACTATATATTTTTATTTAACATTCAAATTTTTATTGTGTGTGATTTATACAATCATTAAAAATTCTGTAAAATTATTTGATATTTCTAGAGTATGGGTTAATAATATGTTAAAGCACAACAATGTTGCAATAGAGTAATAAATAACGAAAAAAATTTCTAAATTATTAATAAAATTTTATATATCTTTTAGATTTGTTTTTGCACTATGGATTATAGTTTTCTCAAGCCATTCAATATTAGAGGTAACTCTTCCTTTGTTTTTTAAATTAATATTTAACATACTGGAGCAATAAGATATTACATACATACGCCATTACACTTTTTACATATTTAAATACATAAAATCATGAGAGAAATTATTTTAAAACCAAACTATTTATAAATAATATTAAATAATTTTAAATATGGCAAGATACATATATGACTATCATATTTAGATTTGGATATCATAGGAATACAATAGAATTGAATAATATACACATACATATACAGGCTGTTTTATAATTAGTGCTACAATCGGGAAAGTAATAATATTACATAAAAAAAGAAACTACATAAAAAAGTTAAACAATTTTTTATACAAAGTTTTGTTTTTGACAAAGTTGATTCTAAAATTTTTAATATTGATATAGCATATTATGCTTTTTTAAGTTTAAATAATTCTAACAACTTTATAGTATACATCAAATTTATTTCGACATTTCGATTAATTAAAATATGTAAAAAGATATATTTTTTATTGACAAAAATAAAATGTATCTAAATATTTTATACACAACTCCTTTCTCTCTTTATCTTCAGCGTAATTTAAATTTTTTTAAATTGTTTTATTAAAAATGTACTTTCTATATTTATACATTATTAGAGCTACTGTTATAAAATACGAACAGAAGATATAATAAAGGCTCATTTAAGTTTAAAAAAGCATAAATGTTAATAATTCAATAAATTTTAAAGTTAAGTTTTTTTTCAAAACAAAATTTTATATGAAAAAATTTTAATTTATTTATTTTTTCCGATTGTACTACTAATTACGGGATATCTCGTACACATTCTACATACATATTTTAATATTATTTGAAACAATTTTGACACACACTGTTATGGAACAAAGTTAATTACTGCTGTCACATAAAATTAAAAAAAAAGGTATATGCTATAATCAAAACTATACATTTACTTTGAAGTTTATTCATTATATCTTAAGTTTCTTAATCTAGTGCTTATTTACTTATAACATAACTAATCTCGATTTTTCTCTTATCCTTTTCCTCTCTCATTACTTCTTATTGATTTATGTATATTTTGTTTATGTATAATTTAACCTGTAATTTTTAATTGCATCACACAAATTTATTTATTTTTGGCCATAAATGCAAACTCCAAATATTTTTGCCAATTGTAAAATTTCATATGTGTGTGTCATATGTTTTGTATGCGATACATCTGCATGCATTCTGCATGCACTCGATTTGCTAAAATATCTTCATTTTTTATTTATTTCTCTGCATGTTATTTTTAAATTTTTATGTGTGTTGCGTAAAGTGGTTATGTTCGAGCCTGCAATCGCTTTCATCTACGGTATCTAGCATAGAGTCCTTTGGTGCACCATCAACCTTGAAACTTCCCTTGTGGGATAAAGCATCTGCAGAATTCTGTTTTGCGAAATCGAGAGAACTTTTAACAAAACCGAGTGCCTGGGCTTCATACATGGACATTGATTTAGATGCACACATATTAGATAATCAGATGACGAAACAAAATCTAGTCAAATCTACCGAGTTCTTGAAGAAGGAAAATAAAAAAAATCACTTGAATTGTGAGAGCGTGGCTGATCTTGAAACCAAATCGAATATTCGACATCAGAATGGTAAAATCTTTAATATGGAAAACTCAACTTACGATTTACCTTGCGAAATGAAAAGAGTGTCTACCAGCTATGTTGAACGTTATTTCGAACAACCCAAGTATTGCGATGATGAAACTGTTTTAGAATGTGCCAACGAAAAAATGCATTTTGGGGAAGAGAAATTAGATAAGTACGATAAGCTTAATAATCTGGAACAGTCTAATAGGCCGACGTATTATTCGAATGCTCTGGAACAGAGCTCGTCGGTCGGAGGTAGATTAAATCAAACGTTACAAAGTAAACTAAACAATTGCGAGCTACAACTAAAGAATAATATCACGCATCACGAAACGTGGTCCGATGAAAATTTTGATATTTTAAAGGAAAAAATGGCGAACTTGGAGTCTCCTCGTAATAAACCGAAAAAATTTGATGTAGTAAAAGACAAGACGAAAAACTTTGATCTCGGCACGCGACCGAAGATACCGGTTGCCTTCACCGAGTCCACGAAAATGAACATCACGGAATTCAAAAAGATTGATTTTCCGAAGTCTAGAAATGCGAAAATATCCTTTATGCCTAGAAATACTAATCAAGATGCAGCGAGTACGATATATGGTTCGTCAGATAATATTAAGACAAGCGCAAAAACGGATGGTTCAGATAGTCCAAGAGGCAATATAGAAGCAGTAAAAATTAACATACAAAGCTTTCGCAAGATTGAACAGAATCAAAATGGCCACGAAGGATTTCCGTTTGTGATATCTAATAATCCTCTATTTATCGCCGAATCAGAGAAGAAGGAATCTCCCATATACAGCAGTTCCGAGAGTTTGCGAGTGAATTTCCAACGTTTGAGGAGGAAATCCGATGCTGAAGCTAGTCAAGTAGAACTAAATAGTAAGCTTTTAGCAGAAAAGTATCAACGTGAAGTTTCTGGCTTAGAGAGTGTCAAAAACTATTTGGATTCCAAGAAAGTTCAGGGTTTAAACTTAGGCTTGGGCAAGCTAACACAGAATATGATACAATTAGGTAAGAACATTGCGCAAAATTCGAGGAACTTGGAAACAACCTCGTCAAGGTCACTGGCCTCTAACATGAGAAATCTAGATTTGTCCACGTCATCCCATTCACCATTGCGAAGTTTAAATATACCGATTCAAAAGCCCAAGCATCTGGACCTGAACATACCATTACAAAGTCAACCATCGATTAATGCAAAGCTAAGTTTAATGCAAAAAACGAATCTGCCGACAAGTCCCACTATGCACCAACACATTTTGGAGCCGCCGAAATTATATCAGAACGATCCCGCCAGAAAGGAACTACCGAAACAAGATATGCTCCCAGATATGCTTCCCAGCGCTGTTAATGTCTATCGACATAGGACGTCATCTTTATCAGAAAATAGAAAACCAGTAAAGAACATACGCAGATCCTTTCATCCCAGAAACGATTCCAGCGAGGACTCGGACTCTGTTTCGCACTCAGAGATGGACATTAGAAGTCGTCTGCGTTGTAAACGTAGACACAAGAAAGTTCCGCATAATCTTCGCTTAAATTTTAAATACAAAGCTCCGTTTCTTCATCCGGATTCCGCTAAAGGATTCTCTACGGTTGAGCTTTGCGGGAAATCGCCGCCGCCGTCGACGAGCTTCTTAAACTCGCTGTCGCCACCGTTCTCTTCCAAGAACAATTTGCTTTCTTGGCCGGAAAGTGCACCGAGCTCGAGCTTGACATTTACTAGCAATTCTGATTTTGACTCAGATACCAGTTCCGAATATCCAGAGTTTACGAATGACATTTTGACATTTCCTCCCTCTCCAGCTCCTTAAAATTCGAAGGGCAAATTTATGGCTTCAGCCTCAATCAATCTGGATATAATTTTTCTATGTATTGAGCCTCAACAATTTCGCAGAGTGGTTAGAGAAATCATTATGTAACGAACGCATGCTAATTATATTAATTTATAGGCCAAAAATCCGATGGTTAAACTAGACTGATTTTATTTTAAAAAATTACTATATAATCTCTTTTTTGTGCAATAAAAATTATTTTATTTAAAATACATCCCTCCAACATATCGATATGAGTGTAAAGGTTTATAAAAGCTTTATAATCGATTTTTTTTTATTTTAAAGTTATCAAAAGACTAAAGATATATTCCCCATTCTAAAATTCTCTCTCAGCTTTCATTTTTGTTCTGACATGCATAAAATGAAAATATTGCGCGCTCTGTTTTTCAATCTTTTTCTTATTCATGTTATTACATAGCAAATATGAGAAAGAGGGAGAGCAGTGAAAGAAAAATTTTAGTTTAAAGAAAAACAGTTATTTTTAAGGAAAAACTTCGAATAGAGGATCTCTTAGAATACAGATTTCCCGTATTTTGATATGGTTTTTATGGGAGTCTGATACGGGGTTTTTTGTAGGTCTTTTCAATTCTAATTTCAGAAATGAATATGAGAAATGATAGTAGCACGATAAATCGAAAAAATACAATAAGCGAGTAAACATTTGTTTTTGATTTAAAAATTGAAAATGCCGTTGAAAGAAAAATTTTCCATAGATATTAGAGAGAGACCTACAAAAGACTCACATACGCAATACGTCCGCACACGCACATATACATACATACACAAACATACATACATATATATAAAAGCATATAAAAATATAAATACATTCATATACAGATGAATATATGCAATAGTTAATTGAAAATATGCGTGTGTGCGTGCGTGCGTAAAGTAACATTTCACCAGAGTTGGAAAGTAATGCGTTACTTGTAAATGCTGTTAACGTTACAATTATTTTTTTCGGTAATTGTAATGGCAATTATAATAGGTTATAAATTTCATTTGTAATAGAAAAAGCAACTTTATTACATATTTTTCAGTAACGAATAACAAATTTCAATACTTGTTTTTATTGTTATTTTTCGAGATCTTAAGAAAAAATATTTTATTCTAACGTGCAATAAGTTTTTTCTGATGTAGATATTAATATTTAAAAGAATTATCAAAATTATTATACTTTATATTGATAGCAATATCAAAATTATATCAGTTATAATCGGTAACGCGTAACGGTAATGTATTACTTTTATAAAGTAACTTGCCCAACTCTGCGTTTCACATACGCATGATTGCATGTCATACTAATCACTGAATTGGATAATATTACCATATATTGGAATACTTTGGATGCCTTTACACATTTCTAACAATTGTATTTCAAGAATTGATACAAAGTTATAGTATACAAATCGGTTGACTGCCATTAGTTTTTACACAGATAAAATTGTAAATTTTATACACACATTTACATTTACATATTTTTGAATAATTGCAGTTTTTTTTTAATAAAGAAAGCAGAATTCTCAAACTAAGATACATACATATGTCACACATGAATAACCTATCTGTTTCATTGAGCTTTAGATTTAAACGAAAATAAAATAAAAAATAAAAAAAGATAATAAAATTTTTTTTATATTTAAAAAATATTTTTTTATTATGAAACTGACAATATATAGCTAAAAAATAATTATGTTTTTTTCAATTATTGAATAAAGATCCAAGAACTATAAAGACTTTAAAGAAATATAATCGTATTTCTATATTTGTAAAAAAACAATACAGAAATCTGACTGTATTTACTTTATATTAATTTGAAAAATCATCAAAATAATATTTCAGAATTGTTATAATTTATTTTTAACATCAAGATAAAAAATTGTTATAATTTATCTTTAAAAACAAAAATTTAAGTCGATATCGTATAAATAAATTTTTTTTTCGGTTAGTTAAGATAGCATTAGATTTCATAAGTCAAAAAAAAGACATGTTTCTATGCTTGATTTGTAACATTGTAAACTAAAAAACAATATGTAAATTTGTTTATTTTATATTAATTTTAGACAATTGTGCTCTATTTTGTATATATATGTATATATAATGCCAGATTTATAAGAATTTGATAATTTATTTTTGATTAGTGAGAATAGTCATTTTTTCTTTTTTTGTTAAAAGGAGGATAATTATTTTTACTTTTTCACGAAAATAAATTTCAAAAGAAAATGCGTTATTCTTTTGAAATTTAAGAATATTGAAGTAAGTCATGTGTAAAAAAACGCATTAAATGTAATTTTTATTGCACTGAACACTGCAACGAGTGTCAAGTATTGCCGTTGATCTCTTAATAGTTAAATCTTATCCAAGGTAGTTGGTATACAATATCAAAGACGAAGAGAGAGAGAGAGAGAGAAAAAGAGACTGAAAGATAGAGAAGGGATACAAATGTGCGTGCATGCGCGAGAGAGAAAGAGAGAAAGCGAGTGAGAGTTTATTTAGCATTTCCATATCCATAGTTTCCGTCGATTCTCTTATTTTTGTTTAATTTTGTTTCTTCTCTCCTCGTATCTATCCCCTCCCGCGACATGTTCAGGCTACTCTGTCGGAAGAAGCCAAAGAAGTATACAACAGCTTGGTGGAGACGCCGACAATGGAGAGCCCCGGAGACACGAACCCGTTGCGCATGTTACGCTCTGGATTACCTATAGTGAGGCCTAGAATTCGAGGAAACAAGCATGCCACTCTAGCTCATCCGATGTCGTCGGAGGATGCGTCCAGTGAACATACTTTCCATGTCGAGATGCATCATAGCGGTGCAAAGACTCTGCCTAAGGTTCGTGCATCTCCTCCGCTTCACACCATCCTGTCTCTGCCACAATCGCGCATTCTCGAGAGACATCACTCCACTTTGGAAATAGAGAACAATCAGAATCAGAGTAATGTCGACGAGAATCCGATACCCTTGCCACCCAGAGATCGCTCCAAAACTCTTCAGCCCAAGTCCAGCTTGCCGCGACATCAGAGGAAACATCCCTTGATTATACCTGGAGGCGGTGTCACTAGAACACTGGCTAAAATGGCAGTGACCACATCGACTATGGAGGATCAAGTAGATGGGCATTTTACGTTACAAAACGTCAATTCACCGATTGCTGGGACCTCGTTACAGGATAATTATTCCCCAGAAGATTCTATTAATGGGTGAGTCTCAATGATTCTCTCAGAAATAATATAAGTTTGCATCCTTAAATTTAAAGAATTGTGACATATGCTGATGTTAAAATGTATAGGATCTTTTATGTAATGAATGTACAGAATATTTTATTTAAACAAAGAAGATAGCATATTCATGTGCTAAAATTAAAATTGTAGTGGTTTAGACTATGAAATTTAATCATTTATTTATATTATTTAGTATATATGACATGTATGTATATATGTAGTATATATGACAACTCGAATACTCCTAACTTTTAGCCCAGAAGAATTCGAGCAACGCATAGATTTTGAGCTAGCCGCGCTGGATTCTTTACCCACCGAGGAAAGCCGATTTCGACGATGTAGCGTGATTTCGGAAGATTTATTGGAATTTTCGGACAATTTAATCGACTGTAGCGACGTATCAGATTTGCATCAAAATGTTTCGGAAACGAACAATGATGAGCAATCAAGCAATTCATTGGTTGACAATTTACGCAAGAAAGTTAGCGTTGAGTCAAAATCCACGAAAAATTCCGCGTCCAAGATACAAGAAAATGTAGAAGCGGATTTAAGACGAAATCCAACATCAACTAATTCTGTAAAACCGAAAGATTGGAGTAAAATGGATTCCTTGCCAGCTGGAACGCAACTTCCTATAATACATCAACATACTTTACTAAACTATACACCACAAACGAATCACGCGTATGCAGAAGAAATTTCTTCCAAGTTTGAAACTGTTCAATGCGAGGAACCATTAATATATATTAGTTCGAACGATGATTTCCATCCGACCCCTCTTTCGAAAGTCTATCTCTTATCTAACGAAAAGACATCAAGTCATGTGAGTGACTTATCACGACAGTCGGATCATGTCTCTTGCGAAGATTTGTTAGAGTTCGCCTGCGATGGACCGAACACACGAAGAACGCGTGGACCCCACAACGGAGAACAGTCTGACGAGGTGCGAATCATGATGAAAGTGCTGCACGAGCAGTCAACCCCGGAATCCTGTATTGCCGCATTAAACGTCACCGAGTGGGACGTTCTGGCAGCAATCAAACTGGAGCGGCTTCAAGGGCTTCTGAAAAAAGAAAACAATTTCGTTGGCCTCGAAGACTGCAAAGTGATGCTGAACCAGTGCGGTGGTGACGTCGTTAAAGCGGCCGCGCTATTGCGAAGTACGGAAGATACTGCCGCGGTTTAGAGTGATTTCGACCAATTATCGTAAAAAGCAATAATTTATAGAGAATATATGAGGATTGATTAGATAATTTTAAGATTATACCTTTATATCTGATTCTATCTGATTCTATTTATTGGTATTGGAAACATTTTTCTTTTCGAAATATCTTTTCTTTTGCAATCTTGCAATTTAAAAAATATATTTTTTTATTTTTCTAAGCTAAAATATTAATATTAATAATATTAATTTAAAAACAAATTTTTATTCTTTGATTACTAATATTTATTTTCTATGAGTATACAAATTACATTAATATAAATTATAATAGTATTAATAAAACATCTTTTTTTATTGGAACTATTGCTAACATCTGGCTGACTGTAGTTAATAGCTGGGAAATATGTATTGTTCACGAATATACACATGTATAGTATAATTATAAATTTTACAGATAGGTAAATTTTTTTCGAGTCATTTGCTTGTATGCTTGTTCCTAATAACTTCCTAACGACAATCGCTATTGTTATGTCGTTATACAAATATAACTCTCTTATACATTATATTTTAATATACATTATAAGAGTGCAACCAATATAGTAGATCAAATAAAAAGTATGATAGATAGTTTTACACAACAGAAAGATCTATCTATAAAACTATCTATCTATTTATCTGCTTATCTATTTAGCCGCCTATTTATCTATCTATTTATCTAGGAAAATACGAAAAAAAAGAAAGAACACGTGTGTCTATTAAAACTTCTTAATTTTATATAAGAGGTATAAACTTAAAACTTTTAAATTAATCTTCACGTATTTATAAGAAAAGTATAAATTTTTAAAATTAGTTCCATTAAAGGAAATATTTGTACTTGACAAACTTGGCTATAGAAATGGAAATATGGGATGGAAATATGTTTAGAAAAAATCATTTTAATTGTTTGAATATGTATATAGGAACATTTAGTATGAGCTTTAAATTTGACTGAAGAAAGAACTAATAATATCAGGTTGGATTGAGTTATATACATTTTATATATATTTGCTTAACAGTAACTAATACAAAGAGAAACAAAGAGAGTAAGATAGAAGGAGAAAGAGAGATCCTTGACAAATTTTTATAAAATTGTCTTTATATGTAGAAGTGTAGATGAAGTAAACAGATATGTGTGTTTTTGACATATGCTTTATATTATCTACAAAGTTTGCAAGATTAAACAATAATTAGTATTAATACATCTGTCAAATATTAACAAGATAAACTAGTTTTTTGTTAAACTGGATAAGTGAAGCAATGTCGATTGTATCTTTTTTACACGTGAATGCAATGTGATAATTTGCACAATAAGGATTAAAAATCTATAATTAAATGACAAAAATGTAGTCAATACATTTTTTTATGTGGAAATGTTTATAAAACTATGTATTATATATATTTGTGTGTGTGTGTTTGCGTGTGTGGTGAAGTTAGGGCTATGACCATAAATTTTTACAGATCTGAATAATGCTTATATAAATTTATTATGATTTATGTTATAAAATATAGATTTATCTACTTTTTATGTGTTTATGTTGTTTCGAAAACGCACATTATTTTTCGATTCGAACGCACATACGGCATATTCATACATATACGTAGGTGCATATATGATATGTATGCGCGCGTATATGTACACAAATATACATATATAATATTTAATTAAGTGTTATAAATATACACAAGACAATCATTTTATAATATTTATACATTTGGAATCACACTGCTCAATAATTTTTATAAATGAATAAAGCAACATAAGTTAAATTAAGAAGGAATCTAGATTACTGACTTGCCGTATGTTGCATTTTATATTTCTAATAAGAGTTAATATTTATTTATAAAAACTACTTTGTCACATTTGTTTGATATTATATTTTAATTTTTACAAAGAATTATTATCAGAGTATCATATTAATCAAATAGAACCTTTCATAAACATTCTAGTGTTTTAAATAAGAATCTACAATGCAACGAATAATTGTAGTGGCTCTTCTTAATTAATCTATGTAAATGTAAAAACATAATATAATATAGGGATTGATAATGAAGCAAAGTCCCAATTTAAGATTAATAATTATAAGAAGTTTTCACATTTTTTAAAATATTACAATATGGCGGGGGTTAATAAATATCAAAATTATTTTTAAGTTTAAAAAAAAAAATTATTTGGTAGATCCTCAATAATTTAATTTACAACTTTTTTGCAATAAATCTTATATTTAACTATGAAGATTTTATAAACTATAATCGCGACACATAATATTCTCTTTTTTAAAGACTTGTGAAAGCCTTAACAACATATTTAACTTTAATTAGAACAAAATTTTTATAACAGGTTACATTCTATATATATATATATATATAGCCACACATAGCTATAATATGATAAAAATATTATAAATTAATTTTTTTAGTAATTTTAATCAGAAAGTTTTCAGAATTGTCGAATCAATTTGGAAATCGGATATATATACTTATACGCATGTCTAACAAATCAATGATATTTTTATTATTTATTTTTACAAAATCACATTTAAACTATTTGCAGAAATATACAAGTAATTTTGAAGATGTTTTGAACAAACCACAAAAAATTTTGGAAAATAAAAATTATATTAATAATAAGTATATTAAAATGATAATAATTGAAATTAAGTCAATGTCATATTTCTCTAGCAAAAACAGGAAGCATGATGAGATATGTATAGTATAAGCCAGGGGTCTCAAGTCTCAAACAACAGCCTCCCAAATCAAACGTGGCCCATCTTCCATAAGATTTTATGGAAAAAATAGATGAAGGGGATAAAAGCAGTTTTTCGGTGGTGTTTAATAAAGAATTCGTAATTCCCCGAAGCACACCGATACGCTTATACGAATATGCACGGCATATACGAGTTAAATGATCTGTCTATTGTAAGATCATATAGAGTAGGAGTATCCACACTTTCCCCTACTTCTATTGTGGCCCGCTAACGTATTGAGTTTGAGACAACTTGTATAAGCGACTAGTAATTTTTTATATATGTTGAATTTTGGCCGTACACATTTGCGAAAGATTTTCGTATAAGATTGCTATATTGCATTAAAATCTTGAATCTGAAATAAATAATATTACTCTGTAGAGATTAAAAATAAAAGAGAAAAGAATACCATATTATTCAGAATAAAAACAATAAAAATAGAAGAAAAATATCAATTAATATAAAAATATTAATTAAAAAACATAATACACAAAAGTGACATGAGTCTACAATCAGGTCCATTTATTTGTGAATGCGTATTAGGTACATTTTAGATGTAATTTCATATTTAAGGACTTTACAAAATATGAATTTAATCCATTTTTATTTTCAGCGCTTTAATTCATCAATTTAAATATTGCAAAACACTATTCTAGCACCAAGAATGTATTATAAATCTGATGTAATAATTTTACGAAATAATTGCCATATTACATCTAATATCAATCAGAATTCAGCATACATTAAAAATGCTTGGTCTCAAATTGCTTGAAGCAAATACATCTGAATTTTTCTAGTTTGACTAAAGCTAAGCGTATTCTGTAACCATTTTTTGATACCCAATTTTTGTAAAGCAGACTTTGTAAGATGTTTGTACGTCTCTATATTATTACGCGCGGAACCAAAAAAAAAATGTTTTTATATGTGCTGTATTTGTGATAACATATACACATACATATATATATTATATATACATATTGATAAGTCTAACTGATTTTATTTTATCCTATCTTATATTGTAGAGTGAAAAAAGGAAAAAAAATTTACAAAGAATAATGCAAGATACACATATACATACATACGTATGTACGTACGTGTGCTTGCGTGCAAGTATATATGTGAAGGGAAAGCGCGCGCGCACTTCTAGTTAATTATGGTTGTCTTTAATTAAAAGAATTATTTCTTTACTTATGATTTTGAAATTTGATAATTAGAATTTTCAATTTGCTTTACATAATTTTCTTTATTATTTTCAAATAAATAGCAATTCAACATTAATGATGTAGAATTATACAGTTTACTTGTGCTTCCGCTTAGCACGATATTCGTCGGCATTTTTCTTTATTTTCTGACAAACATCATGTGTTGCATGGCAACAAGTCGCTCTGCTGGTCTGGCTGGAGCATCCTAGCGGTCAGTGTAACATAACTGCACTTGCTTCTGCCGTACCGCATCAACCTGTGCAAGCTGGTGGCATTACTGTGCACTTCTTTACACACTGTTTTAAAGAAAATATTTTATTCAATTTAAATTATATATAACTTAATCTCTCTCTCACAGTTGGATAGATTCAATTTAATTCAAATGATATACATGTATTATGCGTATATTTATTATATCGCTATTAAAAACATCTCTTTTACTATTTATTGAACTAAATCATAAGAAATATGAAATAAAAAACATATATACACAGACACATTAGGTCTATGTATATGTGTGCGTATTGGGTATTATGTAACTAGTGGTACAATCGGGAAGATAATATACCTGAAAAAATAAGTAAAAAATCTAATGTAAAATATTTTTGTATAAGACTATTTCTCTAAGAAAATTGATTTTAAAATTTGAAGAATTAAACTACGGTTTTTTTTTTATTTGAATGATTTTTAGTAATTTAATATTATATTTTTATTTTGACAATAATTATTATAAATAATATATAAATATAAAAGTACAACATTTTTCATTTGGTAAAACAATTTAAAATAATTTAAGTTACTTTGATAAGAGAGAGAAAGAGACAAGTGTTGTGTATAAAGTGTCTAGATAAATTATATATTTTCGACAGAGAAAATTTATTTTTCTATACATATTTTTTTCAATAATCACTATCGAGATACATTTGATAATGTATAATACAGAGTTGTTAGAGATTATTCAAGCTTAAAAAAGCATGATATGTATTCTAATTTTTCTAAATTTTCTAATTTTTAAAGTTAATTTTGTTGAAAATAAAACCTCATATGAAAAAAATTTATTCTACATTTCTGAATTATTTTTTTTTATATAAAATTATCTTTCTGGGTACTACTAGTTACGAGATAATATTAATAGCGCGAAAAATTTCAAGAAATATACGAGACAAATTACATGTAATTCGCGGTTTTCTCATGGTACTACAAGCAGCAGGTGTAGCTGCTTAAACGTAGCTTAACAGGACTAGTGACTACATTATACTTGGATGTATGTATATTTGTGTGTATAGACGAATCATATATTTCCGGTTTGACTGACCGGTTCCTCGTGTTAGTCTAACATCAACGGAACCTATATTTACACTGGAATGGACGTTCTTATATAGCATATAGATGCGATACGGAACAGCTGATTGAGATGAGATTTATGCTAGATGAAGTCTGTATACATGTGCTACTACTGAAACAAATCTATATATTTTAAGAAATTCAATAATTAATATTCTTAAGATATATATTTATTTTTATGTACACTTATATTTATTAAATTATAAAACATATTTTTTGCTTAATTACTTCATTGCACTCATGATTTTATTTGTATAGTTGTCACTTTAAAATAGTTATAAAGGAAATTAATCTTTGATTTTATGTCTTTATAATTTATTTATTATAATCTTTGATAATATCAATGATAATCATGTTTATCAATGCAATTGATGAAGGAATTACATATGTCAATCTTGCATCTATATATGCATTGCTATCGAGTCTCATAGATCGAAGATTTCGAATTTTGAAAGTTGATAAATAATATTATTCTCGTTTGTACGTGACATAAGTTCGGCGAAGGAAAAAAGGTTATTTGATAAAAATATATGCAGGATTCCAAAGGACGGAGACGATGCTCCCGTAATTTTCGTGGGGGTCATTATCACTGAGCGCACTTGCGCCCGAGGAAAGATTCTGAACGCAGCGTTCAGTACAGTTATAACGTCGGTACAAGGCTGACGTCTTGTGTTCTTCTCGTGAGAGTTCGCACGATAAGTCGTTGTACTTTTTTTTTTTTTTTTTTTTTAATAATCACACATTATAATCATCCCAAGAGAATGTATTTTGTAATCGTCTCGACAGAAATTAAACTTATACAAGAAATAAAAAAAAGAATCGCAGAAATATTTTGTTCCAACCGAGACATCGAGCATTTATCGACGTTAGACATATTAATGAGTTGTTAACAACTATAGTAATTACTCTAACAAGTGTCATGTTTAAATCGACATAATATATTGTGTTTACTTAACGTATTCATTAACATATCTATGCAAGATTGCACTACGTGCCGAGTGTGTCGGATACAAAAATCGAGATTGATCAATATCGCGGACTTTATTGATTTATTTTATGCATTTCGTGATTTTTTTCAAGTATTGTATTTTCTAATATAAGGGATTATTAAAGGTGTTCGAGGATTCATCGTATTAGAAACATGGAGAAGGATAACGAGCAGTGATTTGAAAGAAATAGTTTATTAACTATCAAAATGCGATTGTATAATGATTACGAATTCGTGAAGACGTA